GCGAGGCAATATCCTACCAAAAATCTCCATATAAGCTGCAAACTCTCCTCACTTACCCAGCAAAGCTGTCCTTCAAAACAGATGGAGAAATGAGGTTTTTCCGTGAAAATGACCAGTTGAGAAGATATATGAGTGCTAAACCAGTTCTAGAGCAAATTCTAGAGAATAGTTTTGACAGGAACAATGAGTCGGACACAACTAAAACCATGGAGGAAACTAATGAGGTCAATGGATGAACCATTACAAAAAACATCAGGAAAAGCAAAACAAAGGATTTACACCAACAGGTAAAAAAGGCGATGACTGTAAGAACGTCATATCTCAGTAATATCTTTCAATGTTGAGGGCAACTCTCCAATTAAAAAACAGAGACTGGCAGGTTGGATCAAAAATCAGAATCCAACAATCTTTCATTAAAGAAACTCATGTCATTAAAAAAGATATCCATAGACTGAAAATTAAAGGATAGAAAACAACATGTCATGCATCAAGACCCTGAAAACAAGTCAGGGTAGCAATTCTAATATCAGACACGGTAAACTTCAAGATAAAATTGATTAGAAGGGACAAAGAAGAGATAACATTGATAAGCATATATGCACCAAATACTGGAGCACCTTTCTTCATAAAACATAAACTGCTGAAATTAAAAGATCAAATAAGAGGTAGCATAATCATAATAGAGAATTTTACCACCACACTTTTGCAAACAGCTCACCTAAACAAAAAATCTGTGGAGAAACATCAGAGTTGAATTACACCCATATCACTGTATTAGATATTTACGGAGTATTCCACCCTTCTACAACAGAGTGTACATTCTTTTCAGCAGCATATGGTACATTTTCTAAAATAGATCACACACTAATCCACAAAGCCTGCTTAAGTAATGTACAAAAGAATTGAAAATACCCCATGCATACTATCAGACCACTGTGCAATAAAAATAGAAATCAAGCTGGGCATGGTGGTGCACGTCTGTAATCCCAGCACTTGGGAGGCTAAGGCAGGAGGATCATTGTAGTTCCAGA